TTTATGGTGCATAATTGTAATGTCTAGTAATAATGACCACTGAAAATCATATTGTACCTTCAGTGATGTGCAAATCATTTTTTTTCCTAAACCTATAGAAGACACTGTGCGCACTAATAAGATGCCACAGTTGAGCAAAATACATCTTTAAAAATTGGGTTTTATATTTTAAAAAGTACTTTTTACACATTAAAATGTAGATCAGAAATGATTTTTCAGCACAAATCAGTTATTGTGGTAAGCAGTTTTCATCTTTGGAAAAAGCAAAAATGATGATTCAGACAAGCAATTTCATAATAAATTAATTCCACCTGATATTTAGTCCCATCACAGACACCCATCCTGAACCCCCCATGCTGATTCCACCTGGAAATGGCCAAAACAAAGAATTCGGCTGCCATGTTCTACTAGCTTTTGCTTGTCCTTTCATTAAATGAAACCAGACAGATGGAGAAATCTTTGGGAATTATGTGAAAACCAAGAAATCTGCAGTGGGGAATTTGGAACAAAATATATTGAAAAATTAATACATCTACCAAAATCTAAGACTGAAACTAATACGTGAATAGACAGCCTCCCAGTGTGAGTTTTCTCCCTGTACAGACATCAGATGCAGTAGAGGCCGAACTGGGCTCATTCCTGGGTTTTGGGCTTTATTCAAAATAAACCAATGTTAATGTAGCAAGCTTAGCTCAGGTCTCTTCCCCAGACTTGGCTGCTCTTATGGCAAATCTCTTAGGACTCCTGAGTGCTTGCCATAGGCCTTTGCTTGCTCAAGAATTTTCTCTGCCTTTTAACCAAATGAAGTACAGAGCCCTCTTCCTTACAGTGCAACAGCAGCTCAGTCTGGGGCTGGAAATAAGAGGGCTGCATCCTACTCAGCTGGGATGCACTGAAGCACTTGAGAGATGGTGTTAGGAAAAGGAAGAAACTCCCTCCCTACTTCTCCACTCTTTCTTAGGAGAATTACTATCTGTTCATAGTGGAGGGTGAAGGGCAGATTGTGCTAACCTATCACACTGTGGTTTTAGTTAAAATTCAGCTAAAGTGCATAAACACAATTAATGGAAGAAATAAAATAGCACAAGTGATCCTGTAAGAAGCTTTTGATTGCTCTTCTACACCCTGTATCACATGCAATTCCAGCTGTGGTTGCTGCACCTGGCCAGGGAACATCCTGAAAGAAGGGCAGAGGAAGGTAACATAAGGAGTGGTGGTAGCATAAACATTATCAATCATTGGACAAGACTATTCTAAGCATGTTCATCTATACTAGAACCACATTTTCATTTGTCTGTATAGATGTACCCTACAGACAAATACAGACTGTTTGGTGACTGCTGCAGCACAAATTTCCTATAGCCCTACATAAAGAACCACAGTTTAAAAGCCACAATTTAGTTATAAAGTGCATATTAAAAGCCTTTCCATTCTCTTCTTAAAGTGTGCATGGAGCTCCCCATCAAGGATGTTTACATTACAAAGTAAGTAAAAATAAAAAGAAGCTTTAAAGAAGCTATCAAGAGTTTTAGCCCATGGTTACACTTTTAAGCTTTACAGCAAAGCATTTGGGTTTATTTTAGGAGACTGTGGGTTGAAGGAGTTAGCTAACTGTCTGGTTGGGTAGTAAAAATGTGAATTTAGCAGGAAGAGGAAGTTACCCCACATATGACTTAGAGTTACAGCACACAGTGAGCTTGTTCCCTGGTGACAAACATTTCCTCACTGTGCTGATGAGACTTAATTGGGCTGCAAAAGGGAACTGAATTCATTCCTGTTTTTTCACACTAATACAAGGCAGTAATAAACAAACTGTCTTACAAACAAATGACCAAGCAACGCATCTGAGCAACACATCTCAACTACTGTTAAAGGTTTATTACCTTTACTGTGCAGTAATTGATTGCTGAGGAGTTACCTATCAAGCTCTAAATAATGTTTTGTATTTATTGCTGTATTATTCAGTTTCAAGAATACATTCAAAGGCAGACTGACACTGGCTAAAATTAATTTGGTATCACTCATCATCCCTTTTAAACCTTAAAAAAAACCCTGAAACATTAAATGATTTTCCTTATGTTTTACCTCCTGCATTTTAAAATTAAAAAGTGGACATATCATAGAATTGTTGAGAAACCTGCAGTTTGGTGTTGAAAAACTCTTAAAGATACCAACGCTGAATTCTGCACTGTGGGTTCATTTTAAAGCTCTGTACTTATAGGAGTGCAATTGTTCAGTATCAATTTTTCTGAAGGTAGTGCTTTGACAGAATTCTCTGATGTTTTTCCAGAAAGAGAAGCACACCAGCAGAATAGCTCTCTTCCATAATGCTCTTGCTAGAAATCAAAAGTTTTCATACAAGCAGTGCTGACTTGGAGTGAAACTAGCATTCTTCCCCACCATGTCTTTATCTCAGTATCTAATTGAATTTAGCTGGAATCGTAGTTCTCAGTTTTATTTGCTTCCCAGTCTATCCTGAAATTGTGACACCATTTGCAAACCACTATTATATGCAAGTTGCTTTACAGTCTTGCACATCAGTCTTTTCCATGGAGAAGGCAACCTCCTCTGTCAAATTATCTGCTACGGATCCAGAAGCTACTATGTCACTACATCTCAGTGGGCCTGTAGGTTTGCTGGGTGTTCACGTTGCCTGGAAATGCAGCAGTTCCTGCTGCCACTGCCACTGTGTGAGTGATACCAGCAAAAACAAAATTAAGAGCCTCTGGCCTGTAACATAAGTTATCCCAACTCTCAGAAGCACTAATACCTGTAATCCCCTATAGGTTAGTCTGGAAAAGGAACTACATGTAGAATTTATATTCATGGCTTGTCTAGCCAGGAACATTTCCTCCCTTTTTTTCCCAACATGCCAGCAAGATTAGCACTGAATCCATACAGGAAAACCCATTGAAGACAGCAAATATAATACTTAAATGTACCCAGCTGCAGAAATTAAGGAAGCTTCTTCCTCTTTACCGTTTAACTACTTTTATTTGCTCTATCTCAATACACTAGCCACCATTTAAGCCTTTGTTCATATACTACTCAGAAGCTGTTTCATAAGCAACAGAATATTTAGGAGACCTTTGAAGGGGCAAAAGTGATAAAGTAATTAATTGAGGACTGAATTTAAAACCAATCAAATGGTACTAAATAAAAGGAGCAAATACTTTGAAAAATTACTGTTGAGGGCCAAGTCCTTCATTATGAAGGACATTATTATGAAGAGTATCAAAGAGATATTTATTCATCAGAAACATCTCATATATCTTATATCTCAAGACTTTCTCAAGTCTTATATCTCAAGACTTTCTCAAGATTAATGCTTGCTGCTGTAATCTGTAATGTTGGACACATGCCAGAATATGGTCCTGGGAATAGGCTGAAACCCAATGACTGACTTTATAAAGCCAGTTTATTCAGGGTTCCCTAAAATAGTATTTCTTGCATGCAGTGTCACATGATGCGTATGTTTTTAAACATCCACCTGCCTTTCTTTTCTTTTTTTTGACAGTCACAGCGTTTTAGTCTTGTCCTTCACAAGGGAGGAATCAAGTTTAAGCTGCACGCTTGGATGTTGCTTCCAGGGATGTTATTATGACAGTATTCCCAATAGTATGAGCTTCTAGAGGATTGCATGTGGTTTTGAAAATAAATCATTCTCATTAATAATTTCAATTTCAATTCAAACTCTCAGAAACGTGGTAATTTTATTTGAACAATTCTTTAAGCCCTACTTGAAATATTTAAGGCTTTATCTTTGCTCTGTTAAAAACAGACATTGTTAAATAACCAACGTTCAACTTGCATAGTTAGTAATCCTTTAATTACTTACGCACGTAGTTAAGAATTCACACACTTCCTTTTAATCACACAAGGAAGGATATGCTGGATCATAGCCTTTACTATATATTCATGATTTCTAGGAGTACTCCCATAATTCATTACTACTAATGATCCTTTTTTTCTCCTACTTAGAAGAGTATATACCAACAAGTAAGGTTTTGAAATGCAGGCTTTTCACAGGAAGAAAAAAAAAAAAAAGGGAGAGAAAAAAATCTCTTTTTCAGACTCTGAAGGCTAAAGTACAAAAATATTTTAACCATCGTTCTCATCCAGGCTTTTTTGTTCTTCAAGAAAAAAGCGCCAAGTTATGAAATCCTATTGATTGAACTCAATGCCAAAATTCTCATCAGCCTTATCATGAGTCAGGATTCACAGGGAACTTTGTGTCTGCAGAGTGGGCTAGTTCTTGTAATGTGGTATGTAAGGGTACTGTCAAAATAAAAAACAATATAGAATCAGCTGTGCAAAACTATTAGAATGAGCTACACTGTCACACATCTTTAGCTTTCCATTCACAGGCACACATGCTCCCTACTTCTCCGCCTAAGTACATAAAATGTAAAGGAAAGCATAGACAATTCAAACATTTCCAGTACCCATGTAGCAGTACCCATGCAAGCTTTGCATGTAAGTATATGTTATACATTTTGTATGTAGTAATTTATAACACATTATTTCCTCTCAATTTTCCCTCAGGCATGACTGAAGTCAAGAATGGAGAATAAATTGATTACTCAGTTATAGTTTAGAACCTTGAAAATGTATACTACTTACTTCATAAATTTTATATACTTACTGATGTTGATGCTTTAATACTGAACTTTCTGAAACAAATTGAATATACCTCCCTGACTATTTCTGTATTCATATGCTGTCTTCACTTTAGCAAGATGGCTTTCATCAACAGCGAAATAAAACCTATGCTGCTTTTATTCAGTGATTTTTGACCACTCTGTTCCCTTCTTCCATTTATGTGTCAGTTGTAAATTGCTTCATCTGCTTCATGCTTCCTCGTTGCTGACATGTTACTTTAAAGGTTCAAGAGAGACAGAAAGGCCAAGTGAGCAACAGATAGGTAATAAAGCAAATGGGTTATTCTCCTATTGAACTTGCTCAGATAACAAAACAGTAAGACTGTGTTTTTTCTTCAGGGTACAGGTGGAGAGACCATGAATGAAAATAAATTTCTGAACACAGATTCCAGCACAGGATCAGTAGAACCAACTGGCAAGCCATTACCATTTAAGGATCCAAACTTCATTGTAAGTATATTATTGTAACAATTTGACATCCTAAATTCTTCAAATAAAAAATAACTAGGATTCTATTTAATCATGTTGCTAATGTAAATAGTAAGGAAGTCAGCTAACAGCCAAATAGAAGGTCAGCAATTTTTAAGAAATTCAGAATGGCACTGAACCAGGGACAGGGCTGTAATACTACATTATGGGAAAGATCCAGAAAACCTGATGAATCAAGGTGTGTACAGAAGCTTTATGTTGTGATATATGACAAACTACCATTACTAGAAAGTAACAATTTATACTGCTATAAGGGCAGAAATCTCATCTCCTAGTTATTAGTCAAGGCAGGTTGCAAAATATTTGATCTAAATTCAACCATATAGTCATTAGCACCTGGCATTTTGCTCCTCTCCTGGGCCCTGAAACTCTAACAGACCTTTGGTGCCTGTTCTTTCAATAATTGCTAGCAGCAAATGTGCTGTACTCTTCGGAAGTCTCACCTTCCAGCACTCAGAAGACATGTAAACTTTGACAGTTGATGAAATGCAGGCTGCTAAAACAATGTGAGATTTAAACTGGGGGAGAAGGTGAAGGAAGACTAGAGTTAAAAATGCAATCGTTGTTGAGTTTGTCTTTAATATTTTTAAGTCTTGCTCCACTGGGGCCAACTCTTTGACATCCTGTACAAGTGCTCACCAGATCAGTAAACTACTCAGACTGCTGGCCTTAAGCCAGTACTTAAAAAGAAGCATTTTATCCCAGATTTAATTTTGCATGAATAAGACACAATATCCCACAGCATAAAACCCGTGTAGTCAGGCTTTGTATACCTAGCTAAACAGGCGTTTGGTAGGGGGTATAAAATTCATCTCCTACTTGTAAATTGCTCTGTATCTGTTTTGCAGACTTCTTCTCTCATAAGAGGAGGAGCATTCAAACTACTGTATACTTTGCTCACTCTAATTCTTCAGGGACCACCAGCCTCTTTGGGGAAGAGGGCTTGTGGACAAGCTCATTTGTGCCCAGAGGGAGTTCATGTTGCTTCCATATGGGATTTAAATAGCCACAAAGCATTATGCTCATTTCTGACAGACATCACCATTTCTGAGGAGGCAATACTGTTTGCATACTTGAAATAAGAATGAATGTACAGAGCCTTTAATAACTGCTCCAGTACTAACAAGGAGTTATAATAAAAACTTGGAAAAAAAATAAAAGATTACTGTAAAAAAATCTTCATGGGGAGAAATTTCATGCAATGGACTTGTATTAGAAATGCAGTAGTACACCTATTTTCATCCCATACTCCATCAGTCTCTCTTTTACAGTGATGTCTTGATTACTTGGGTGTTACTCATAGAGCAAGGATTTTGCTGTACTTTCGGTATTGAATATGCATTGCCAAAAAGGCAATGATCAGCTCACAAGCATCCTTCTTGTGAGAGAGAAAATCCTATGGAGAAAAAATACTTCTCATTGGATCCTTCTTCCTATCATTATCAACTAATTTACATGCTAATTTATAAAACAATCAGAGCAGAAGTGTTTGCAGAATTTTGCCATGTTTTGGCCAGACTGATGTAACAGGTAGTAATTGTTAACAGAGATAACAACTCCCTAGTTGCAAGAACATTTTCTTTTCTGAAGTAAAGCCGAAAATCTATGTCCTTTGATCATTTTGAAGTAGGAGAGTGTGTTGTGCATCTTCTGCCTCTGGAGAGACATAAATAAATTACTCCACAGCAATCACATTTGATAACTGAAATTACCATTATAGTATCTGTAGCAAGTTTTCTGTTAGTGTAGCTTTCAAAATGCAAAACTGTCTTACCAGCTTTTTCTTATTCTCCCTCTATTCTTCTGTCTTCTATCATTGGAAGAAAAAACAAAATTTCCAGACAACTTCTCATAGTACTCATTACATTTTGCAAGATCATATGTGTTGTCTACAGCCATAGATAAGAGATAGAGCTGCACCTGTAGTTTTCCATATGCCATAAAAAGAAGAGAGAATTTATCCGTGTAATGACAATTTTGGACACAACTTCATAGCAATAAGTTCTAATATGATGGGAGGTACATACAGAATTGTGTAATCTCAGACTTAACCTAACTACATTGATTTTCTATTTACATGTAAAAAGCAGATTTTCATTTCCTTTAGTTAATCCAAAATGTAGTAGCTTTGACACAGTTCAAAAAGCTTTATTTTTCTTGCAAGCAAGATTAAGAGTGTACAGTATGCTAGTCTACCAACTTAAGTAAGTGTGAATAACAAATGGTTTGTTACAAGATGAGATGTATCAGAAAGACTATGAAATAAAATTGTTTTTCTGAAATAGTAATTCTGTGTGTGTGTGTGTGTTTAATTTTAGCACTCCAGCATCGGTGGAGCAGCAGCTGGCAAGAAAAACAGAACTTGGAGGAACCTAAAACAAATTCTTGCTTCTGAAAGGGCATTGCCATGGCAACTAAATGATCCTAGCTGTAAGCTGCTTAGACATTATTTATAAATAATAAATTCCACACAAATAACTTTCCTTAAAACAAATCAAAAATATTTTATCAGTGTATGTAGTATCCTACTTTAACAGAGTCCAATAATACAATTAACATGTGTTTAACTAATGTCACAAGCACTAAAAGGCAAGGCAGTAATTGTGAGTGTTGTAAGAAAGTTCAAATACATATGGGGTGCAAAATTAATGAAGGAAGTATATTAATCAAAACCAAGTCATAAATTACTTATTCCCATCAAGTTTTTGTCACCTCTAAGCCTTTGTCTCACAAAGGCTTTTCTGCATAAAGTTGTCATATTTCATGACAGGTAAGTCTCTACTGTGGTAGCTCTAGCTTGTTTAGCTATATTTGAACTGTTTTAAGGGAGTTTCAGCGAGCCATATACTTGCAGCACCTTGGCCCACAACCCAAGCTTCCTATCCAGTTCCTTATCAGAACTTCTTGTGAGATTTTAATCCTACATCCCATATTTAGTTTAGCATATCTGAAACCACACTCCAGATTTACAGCTAGCTTGTGTATATCTATAGGAGTGGAGTTACAGCAGTCTCTTCATAAAGTGGGATACTATTCAGCCTAGCTAGAGGCAGAATCCAATCCCTGGATTTTACCTAAGCAATAGGAGGCATCTTAAAATTGAGCACACGCTATACTTTGTGTCAGGCTTGATACTCTATATAAAAATAACTTGCCATTTTGGTAAGTGTTTTAGACACCACTATTACAGAAAAATGCAGACTACTGTGTGCTTCTGGCTATTGTAACTGACAATCTGCTGATGTTATTTTCATTACATTCTATTTGCAACAATTTGCAACAATCTGTTTTTTAAGACGGTGGGAAAACAAATTCAGTTGTATATATTAAAACAGCTCTGGCATTTGTTTCTCTTGAATTAAGGGATTATAATTTAGGTACTTGATATGAATGCAACACGTGCACGGTTGATCAGGAAGGAGAAAATAAATGAGGCAGGTAAAAAAAAAGGGGGGGGATTTTTGTGAACATTAAAACCCGGAGAATTAACTACTGAAACATACACCACTTGCATCTTAAAAAAAAAAAAATGATAGTAGTTGCTATTTGCATCTAAAAGACCTGACAGTATAGCAATTGCCACCATTTAATTTTAACATTCAGATAATATTCTAGGTCATTGACAAGGCTTAAGGTGGTACATACTTAACGGTTTATCTGATTTAAAGGATTACTTTGCTTTCCTGGATTGCAGTATTTCAGAGCTGCAGTCTTGAGCAATGTCTCATGGTCTTAACATTCAGCATGTATATGCCAATGGCTATTCTCTGCAAATGATTCTGACTGCAAGAGAGGTTGTCATTGAGACTTGCAGAAAATCAATGCACTTACAACGCAGTTCAGAAGCTCTCTTGAAGTTTTCCTTTTAGGGATAGCACAGTTCTGCTTACTGAGCTCTTATCAGAGAGGTGAGCACAATCAGGCTGGTAGTTACAATGCCAGTAGGCTGTTTTCGGAGGTGATTCTGCTTTATGTTTACTGGCTTAGTGCTGCTGGTTAATACAGACCTCAAAGTAAAGGCAGCCTTTTAAAGAAGTTTTTGCTATCCCCTTACGTTTTTTGTTTGCTTTTCTGAATATATATATATGAGACAAACTGAACTTACCTCTTTGTTTCTCCCTAGATTTTAATATTGATGCTCCTCCTTCCTTTAAGCCTGCCAAGAAATATTCAGACATTTCAGGACTTCCAGTAAGTATTTTATTTTTCTCAACAAAATTGGCATCTTACTTCCCACAACAAAATAAAGGTGGTCCTGCCTTGTAAAAGACGTACTTGCTGAAGCTCCAATTCAACCTATGCTTAACAGTAGTCCAGTGATTCAGGGCCAAATCCTCAATACTACCCCCGTATCACAAAGCCCTCAGGATCTTAATAGATACCAGGACATATGAAATACCTTGTCCTGCCAGGTGGCTGTGTCACAGCACTTTTCGAGCTGTTGGGTCTGTGTAGTTCTCTGTCATTCTTGATTCTCTAGTGTTACATTAGGAGCTGGTGACCTGTAGTTTCCATCACTTCTAACTTTTCCAAGCTTTAACCACAGAGACTAAAACTTTCCATGCAGAGCATTTGCCGAAGGATGGTAATTTTTCATTACATCTTTCAGGGAAAGTTTCAAAAAGATGGTTCAGCAATTTCCAAGAATTATATTAGACAAAACGATATTGATTGGTTCATCTTAAAAAATAATTCTTGTAGTCATGGCTCTCAAACTTTCCCTCAAACACATCAGCTGAAGCACTTGGCACTTGGCATGGGTACTTAAGAATCTGCTGCTTCATAACAGGAACATGTGATTTTGGCTGATTCATAGCCATCTCACAGCCATGACACAAATAGGTTCTTTTATATTGTTTTGTTAAAAATAAAATCTTAGTCTTTGAAAGATCCTAATTTGCACATGTTCAAGAAAAGCATCAGTCCTTATAGTTTGGCACCTGGGTTCTAGAAAGATTCTGTTGGCTCAAAACATGAGTAAAGTCATTGGATTCTGCCCATCAAAAATTCTGTCTTGCCAATGCAACTCTTTCTATATGACATGAAGAATTTCACTTAAAAGAAAGGTTAGTAACAGCATATTCTTCTCACTTTCTGGATGGTCACTTTCAAACCCCAGTGATTTATTTTGCAGAAGCATGTATATCTAACACAATATTTTTTTCAATTTATTTATTTATTTCTAATTTTCCTCTAAATGCACTTCAGGACAAGTTCCTTATTTTACCTGGCCTGCAAAGTTTCTTCACACTATAATAAAAATACCATGTTTTAAAAAAATCTTTATTTATTAAGATAACTGAGATGGCCTGTCCTTTAAATTGTTATACCAGGAACGTTTCATAAAAAGCACTAAGTTTATTTTCAAGATCATTTACTTATGGGAATATGCATTGGATATAATAATGTTTTAGAAATCTATTAAGAAAAAAAAAAACTTTTTTGGGGATGAAATCTGAAAGCATCTGTGTAAAAGCATATTTTTTCTGTGATCATGCTGGGATTCCTCATGAGAAAAAAAAGCTAAATAAATTCCCTAGCATTATTCATTTAGGGAAGAATTAAATAACTGATCATGCAAAAAATTTAAGAAGAGAGAGAGAGGTTTATTAAAACACCTATCAGTATATCTGCAGTTATATTAACTGCCAGAATTAAAGTCTCTTTGCTTTCTGTGTGGTAAAGTAAATGGAATTAAATCCACCAATGGTGTAAGTACGGTATCCAATATATATTTGTAAGGCAGCTTAACACTCAAAAGCTCTTATTTATGTATTATATTGACATTGTAAAATAAAACTATTATTTTCAAGCTTGCAAGATGAGTATTTTGATATACTGACATGCAAAACAGAGTAATTTAATCTTACAAAGATTAAAACAAACTTCAAGTGTTTAAATTTCTATTCCTTTCTTGAAAATAGAACAGCCCTTAGCTGTAGGAACATGCTGAGATAACCAATTTACTGAAGAGCGTGCATCTAACTATGAGAAATTTTGCCTTACTTGTCTTTTTGTGTTTTAATTACTGTCAAAGTAGAGGTAAAGCTTTCAGACTGAAATCATAGCATAAATTATTGAATCTTGTTATACATTAGTTGTGATACGTTACTGCATACAAACATTCAATTGTACTGCCTGTTAAGTAGTATGAAAATAGTAAAGAAATGCCACAGCTCTTTTCACCTAGACCGGTAGATAAGACAACACCGATTGTAGGTATTGTTTGCCTACCCAATTACAGAATCATAAAAAGTAGTCTACCTGTTTAGGCTTTTCTCAGACATGTGAGGCCAGACTGTGAAATAAAGTTTAAGATAAAAATACTTTGATATCTGGTGTAGCTGCAAAGTGGTGGCTGCACTGTTGGCCACATCAAGTTAACACTGCAGCATTTCTTTGTAAAGAAGCAAGCTACAAATAGTCAAAAATTTCTGCTACATCTTAGCAGGCCAAGCAAATAGTTGGGTTGAAATACAATAAAAAACTTCTCTAAATTGTTTTATGATTGACAACAGATTCTTTCCAATATAAAGATGGCAGAGGACTCAACACTAAGACTATGGATGGAGGGAATGCTGTGGTTCTTCATGGCCTTTTCCTTTTTAGTAGGGGCATCTCAAGGGATTTCAGTTGCCTGAGTCTTGCAGCCTGTCATCATCTCCTATTAAGGAATCATAAGTAAGCCCCTTTTAGAGCACTGGCAGACATCTGGAATATAATACTAAGAGTGTCACGACTGGTTCCTGAAAGCTAGAGGTGGAGAGGTGGATACCCTGGCAGACTGTCTTCTTCCATTCCAGCTCCTCGGTTGCCCCCCAGCTAGTTGCAGCTCAAGGTTTCTGTGGCAACAGAGAAGGGGGAAAATGGAATGAACTTGGTCCTACTCCCAGGCACCCAAGAGCCAAATACTGCAGAGGTTATAAGCACAGCTTGGAGTTAGGTGGTCAGGATACTATCCTGAAATCAGAAATTTGACACATAGCAAAACAATGCATTCAAATTTCTTATCAGTTCAGTCACAGTATCATAAGCTGAAACTCTTTTGCTTTAGTAACCACTTTAAAGTAAATTAAAAGCTAAATTGTACGCAGGAAAGGAAAAATCAGTCCAAAGCCATCAGCACACCCATAATTCAGTCTCTTTCTGGGTAATTTATTGGCAGCAGCCTCACTCTTTGGAGAGCTGCCTTGTGAGAGATTGCACAAGACAGACTTGCTACCGTGAGTTTAGAGAGTTGTGGAATTTTTTTGCACTGGGTTTTGTATGAAGCTTTTTTAGCCCTCTGTTATGTTTAATGCATTAACTTCTCATAAGCTCTGACATAAAAGAAGAAAAAAGAAGTGCTATGGTAGACCAGCAGTGCTGCTATTAGGAAAAGAAATACAAAGTTTGTGGGTATTGTAATTAGATACTTTTTAGCGTTCTGTTTTGAGATTTTATTTGAATAGCATCTTTGCCATTGTTTCTTTTTCTTTTCTTTTTTTTTTCTTCTTCAGGCAAACTATACAGATCCTCAGAGCAAACTGAGATTTAGTACTATTGAAGAATTTGCCTATATTCGGATGCTCCCTTCAGATGTGGTTACAGGATACCTTGCTCTAAGGAAAGCAACAAGTATTGTTTCCTAAAGGGACCAAATGCAGTTGTATTTCACTTGTGAACAGTACTAGTACTTGAATCATGATGGAAAGGAAACAGATTGCAGGATTGAGGTTCCTTAAAAATACTCATTTGTATTTACATATGGAAGTAGCTGATGATACCTGGATCTGAAAGAACATATGGTTTTGATAAATACTGATATTTGTTTGCCAACTTGTAATTAATTTGATTTGGTCAACAAAATAACTTAAATATTAATGATATAAGCCTGTATCCTAACACCTGAGTTTGTAGGATTTCACACCCACACTGTATATTCTACCTACTCCTGTGATTCAGAAGAGGAAAAGTCATTTGAATAAAGGAAAAGGTACCAGCTTCTAAATCTGCAATGCAAGTAATGCTTGCTGCTTGGCTATGGAGAAGTTTGCCTGCAAAATAAAGCTAAAATACTAAGTGCTGCTATTGTGGTGACTGATGATGATATTAACCATGGTGGAAATTAAAAACCTTCATACAGATATGTAAATTGGAAGAGTTGTCAGCATAAATAAAGTTGGACTCAGTCTTGAGTAAAATATCCTAATGAATACACATAAAAGAGATTACTAATCAAGCTGGACCTGTTTAGCCTGGAAAAGAGAAGATAGAGAAGGGATCTGATCAATATGCCCTAATACCTAAGGGGAGAATGTAAAAAGGATGGGGCCAAACTCTTCTTGGTGGTGGCCAGCCTCCACAGAGGACAGAAGACATGTGCAGGGACATGTGTTATGATCTCCTTTGACAGAGATCTGTAAATGTCAAAACTACCCGGTACACAAGGAGAGGAAAGGGAAAGGGAAAGGGAAAGGGAAAGGGAAAGGGAAAGGGAAAGGGAAAGGGAAAGGGAAAGGTATTTTTTACCAGTGAAGAATATTGCACTAAAAATGAACTAAAATGAACTAAAAAAAATGAACTAAAAAAATTAGTGTAGGGTAAAAAGCAATTATAAATCCATTCTGTTAAGAGAAAGGCTCCAACTCCCCACGTGATTAAAATGTTTTTCCCTGAAAAAAATTCATCTTTAATAAATTAAGACAACAGTTTATTATTAGAAAACCTACCAAGAGGATTTAAGGCCTCTTAAAATCTCTTAACAGTGTTTGTTTTTTACATACTGCAAGGAAGCAGATATACTGTCAGATTCAGGGAGGCAAGTGAAATAATACAGTGCTCCTTTTAGAAAGGACAGTCAAGTGGTATTGATATTACTGCCAAACACTTCAATCACACTAAGATAATGATACCGTTAAAATTAGAATTCATAGCAATGCCTTCCTATCTTTCTCATGTATGTATTCCCAATTATAAACCATTATTCTTTATCTGCTGAGAGGTGGCCAGTTGTAATAAAAAATAATTCATTTTCATATAAGCAAAAACATTTTTGTTTAAGTCTATTTGGTGTAAGTATTGCTTGACTTGGTATTCTATTATCTGAGAAACTTTAAAAAAATCAGTTGTTTTGGATGGTTATACTAATGTAAATCACAGTCTACAGACTGCAATAGCAGTAATCTCTTGGGAGACATAATATTAACTAATAAGCAGTATTAAGCAATTGGTAAGCTTGTGTAATTGTTTATGACCTGTAAGATCACATTTTAAGTGCAGAACATCACTTTCCTTGAAACAGCACCCGAAAATCAATAGTCTATACATAAAACTGTAGTACTAGCGGACTAGATAATAAATTCGTTTGGGGGCTCAGTGTTTTTTGTTTGTTGCTTGCCAGCATGTTCTCTTCAGGGCAAAACTTTGTCAGTTGCTTGCATGCAAACTTCTGTGACTGTAATTCTGGTAAAGCCATCACAGTCCTTGGACCAGGCTCAATTTTTATATTGCACTGTCTGAAGTCTTCTTCAATGTCCCATATTCCCAAATTACGATTCCCTCAAGTGAAGAAATTGTTTATAAGCTGCTAACTGTGTACAGCGCATTTGAACAATGCTCCCTTTTTCTGCAAGTCCTGAATCCAAAGCATGGTTTGCCTAAAGGGATATATATTTCTGTTTCAACCTTGGAGAACATGACAGATACAGGAAGCAAGTTATAAGCGTAAAATTCAGGAATTCTTGAAGCCAGCTTTCTACCCAGTAAGGGGAATAAGGTGTTTCCTGTCTAATAAAATTGTCTCACATGAAATCGGTATCTGCACACAATCAATGTCTTAATAAATCTGATAAATTTAGAGCTGTAAATCCCTTTAAGTAGAGAATGCAAGCCCAGACTGTTTTGGCAACACTGGGTAGGCTTGGGGCACTGGGTTAACAAGGGATAATGGGGAATGACTGGATTTTGGCTGTGATCCCATTCATGTCCTGAGAGCCAGTATTTATAAGACAGCTCCTTTTGGTTCTCTTCTCCCAGGCAGTAGATATTCCTCTAAAGAGGACATTCTAAAAGATATATTGCCTAATATTGTGCCTCTGGTCATTAGTTTCATTCAATGCATCAAGGAGACACAGGGAACAGAAATAAGGATTTTTTCATATATTGCTCTATCCAAATTCTCATCTTCCATCCTAGATAAGCTGGGTCCTGGTAATCATTGTGTGCTCACCAAAGGGAGTGAAAGAGACGCCATGCATATACATAAGAGCTCCTGCAGTCTAAACTCTACCTAAACAACTCAAGCACTTAATCCCTTGAAACCTCTAGGCTAGGGCTGTTACAGGAACAGCTAAGGGCTGCCTACAGAGTGTCTGCCTTCCCGTTCCATGCCTGCAACTGCATCCTATACCAGGTGGCTAAGCAAACATGGTGTGAGTGAATAAGTGTGGACAATCTAATGGCAGGAGGCTCCCTCTTAGTTCCTGACCAAAACACACTCCATCATATGGATAAAAGAGCCAACAGCCCCTGCTTGAAGGTTTATCAGTTCTTGCTTTGGGGGTAATCAGGGCAGAGTGTGGGGTCTGTTAACAGCCTCAATAAAGGGGAAATCAGGAACTTCAACAAAAGCTGGACCCAGACTAGGAAAGGCTTTGGGATTTCAGAAGAAATTGCCATGAAAATACAGGACTGTGCTGAAGAGAAATCATTTGCAAAACATTCTATGGGTGATTCTTAATCCTCTGAAACACAAACGTGGCACTGCGGTGGTTCTATATGTGGAATAAAAAGCATAACTAGAGCATAATTCACAACTTACGCCTTTCTGAAAAGTATGTCATAGCTGATGTTGGTAGATTCAATGGCTGCCATCATTCTCATGAGCATCAGTAGCAGCAGTTCATAGGCACAAGTGCTGTTCCTCTCATGTTAAATAGGCTTTTATAATTGAACCTGAGGGCAAAGTACAATCAGCCAAATATTTTTGGTCTCTGAATACTAAGAACTAGTTTGTTATGCTTCATCTGTCACTGGGTTGAGGAATACAAAATTCATTTTCTGAGTACAGCTTTACTGGGACATGTAGACCTCTCTGGAGACCCTCACCCCTAGGACTGTTCATACTTCTTATATAAAATAATCATAAGCTATATGGATGATATTTGTAAAAAGCGCTGAAAAACTGGTCTTCTACTTCTCACACATGTACTCTTTTCACTGCACTTACCAGACTCTAACTCTACAAATCTTGACAAGGAGAAATGGGGACTGCTCCCAGTATGAAATAGCTCTACAGGCCTGCTGGTTCAGAGGCTCTACTGAGAGTGGGTGACCTGCAGGTGAGAGAAGAAACCAAGCCCTTATCAAATGGCAGAAGGTAAAGCAGCCAGAGCTGTTGTTGGATAAAGAGAGCAGAAGCTGCATCCCTGCGCTGGCTGTATTTCAGGTGAAGGCAGCCCTATAGTGGCCTTTTTGCAGTGGGCAATCTTGAAGGGATAAGCATGCACAGGGATGAGTGCTCTGTTGACACTCAGAAAATGAGGGAGAACGAGAGAGGGAGGAGAAAGAAAGAGGAGAGAAAGGAGAGGGAGAAGGAGGCGGGGGGGAAGAGAGAGATAGGGGGAGAAAGAGCCCTTTTATCAGTTTTTCAGAACATCTTCACTTTTAAGCCACATCTCTTACCTTCATGACAATTAATGTCAGCCTCCAAGCTCACATCATGAACTCAAACCAATTCACTGGACAAACTGTTCATCATATGTAACAGTTTAAAAATACTGGCTCACTGGCCTCCTGGAGATTTCTAAGGAGATCTCAGAAACCAAAATCTAGGTACCCTCAAATTCCTCCTTTGTTCTTCCCATCCCAGTAACATACATAAACATATAGATTTGTCAAAACCATGAGAAGTACAGATGAATTTTTCCGACCCCACCAAAAGGTTCAAACAATTGATTGTTTTCCAGGTCATACAGAAACAGAGGTTATATTTGATTTTGTCCTAAATAGCACTACCGAGGCCGACCCCGTGAGACGGAATGAACAACACTTCAATGTGAAGCAGGTTCGATTCGCTTTACTATTGTCTACTATGTAGCTTTATACAATTCTATCACCCGTAAACGCAGACACGCGCTAAGCAACAGCATTCCCATTGGTTAGGCTATAGTGTCCATGCATAGCTAGCTTGCAGCTGACTGGTATTCTTCTCAATGCTCTGTTGCTGGGCCTCCTGGACACTTATCTGGCTATGGCTGGCCTAATTCATTAAAAGTTGCTAATAGGCGTTATCTTCTCCTCCGGGTGGCCTTGGTTCCCATCGCTTCAGCTCCTCGGTTCTCATCGCCTCAGCTCCTTGGTTCTCATCACTTCAGCTCCTCTTATTCTTGCAAAAGCGCTAAGGCCCCAACATAGCACACACACATTTGATCAAGCTTTGAGCCACTGAGAAACAACCTACCAGGCAGAGTTATTAATCCTACCTTCCATGGAGGCAAATCCCTTCCTACCTCCTACTTCCATACCCATATCCGTGGGACCAATCCAAAAAAAAAAAAAAAAAAAACCCAACAACCAAAAACAATCCACTAAAGCCCTGCAATATTAATCTTGAAAATTAGATGTGGAAAATAAACATATAAGTTAGACAAATTCATCTACAGATGTACATAAACTTTCCTAAGTGGAAAAACACAAAAGCGAGTT